CCCGCCCTTGTTTTACTGATGCACGCGGCGTCGTCGCGGATCGTTCACGCGTCCCCCTTTCAATATTATCCCCACCCTCATTTTATGATTCTACACATATATATATGTGCATTTCTCGATCAACAATTTTCTAAATTAAAAAATACACATTTGCAAAAAAATATATACTATATAGAGATAAAAAATAGATTTTACCTGGTATATGACAAAACGCACGCATCTCTTTCACACCTGACACTGTCATCGTGCCACTTCTAATAAATTTACTCACTTCCCGCACTGACAGATGCAACCTAATCGCCCTGCCCCTAACATACTTAACACTCCCGTCTCTCACTCTCTTTTAAATACTAGTATATTGTCTATAATACATTGATATCCTAATTATTTCTATTTACCTTCAAGTTTTAAGATTTTTAATTTAAGATAATGAAAATAAATCACAAACAAATTAATATAAATTATAATCAATGAATTTCAAAAATTTCGTAATATATGAATTATAAAATTATTGTAAAAACGATTTTAACAAAAAAGGAAATATTGGAAATTAATTAAATAATTAATAATTATTGTTATTAAATAATAAATCAATAATTAATAATTATTATTATTCATTAATAAATCAATAATTAATTAAATATTAAAATATTAGAAATTATGTGCCTGAAGTCCTGAACATTTAAACAAACGCAAAAATTTATTTACTACTTTTCTAATTTCAAAATTTTATTATAAAAAATATTGCTCTCTGTATTCAAAAATACATTAATAATTAAATATTTAATGTAATTTTTTTATTGACGTAATAGTTTTTAAAAATATTTATAGACAAAAAAAATTATTTCGTTCATTTTAACTTATATATATGGCATATTAGAAATTAATTAAATAATTAATAATAATAACTATTAATTAATATATTAATAATAAATAACTATATTAATTAATAAATTAAAAATAAATAATTATTAATTAATAAATGAATAGTTAATTAAATATTAAAATATTTGCAACTTAAAAATTTAATGAGCCAAAAGTTTTGAACGTTCAAAATGAACAACATTTTTTTATAACTTCTTTAAATACGAATTTTATTACAAAATATTATTTTAAATATCTAAAAAGAAGTTATTAATTTAATATTAGTTTAATTTACTGTTTTATTTTACATTGACATTATAATTTTTAATAATTTACAGATAAAGTCGAATTCTTCAATTTCGTAATTTTCAATATTTTGTTCATTTGAACGTTCAAAACTTTTGGCTCATAAAAATTTCGTAAAATAAATTATAAAATTATTATAAAAACAATTTCAATAAAAAGAAAAATATTGGAAATCAATTAATAAAAGATAAAAATAGAAATTAATATTACCACATATTTTAATTTAAAAGAAGAGATTGCAAAATCGGTAAACAATGAAAAAAAAAAAAAAAAAAAATGCGGAAATTTACCGATGAATTAATAAATTCGAATATCTATTTACATTTTTAATCAGGTAAACTTTCTTAAAAAAAAGAGGAAACGTCTCGTAAAATACAACACCTGGTAACTTTATCAGTATAGAAAGTAAGTACTAAATAAATCCTATGAGATTATCATAAAAAAATCATCGAAATCTATATATAGGATCAAATCTAAGATATATTATCGCCCTAAAAAATACCATAAAAATACCTTTATAAGTAAATTAATTATAATAATTTTGTGTTGAATTAGATGACTTTTTTTTGCGAAAACAAAAATCGAGACAGATTATATCTCTCGATAATTTTTTCGAAACTAACAAGGTTTTGATTACGAGAGATATAACGATATATATAATCGACTTTGAAAGTATAACCACACACACAGCTTCTAAACGTTAATCAACTTAGTTACGACGCCTATTTATTATCCTCAACGACGATTAATAATTCCTGTCAACACGTTATTTATTCTCCTTGTCTTATATATATATATATACGAACCAATCTGCTACAGATATATGACAAATATTGCAATTTTTAAATATATATTTTTGATATTATTTTCTATATGTATCGTAAAAAATTATATTTTTTACTATAAATTATGCTATATATATTTGAAATTATTATTCTACTTATTATTATTATTATTATTATTGTTTTTACTCTTATTATTATTATATTTTAAATTATTTTTCTAAATAAAATAAATTGTGCTATATATATACTTGAAATTATTATTGTAAAGTAATATACTTGAAATAATAATTATAAGTAAATACTTGAAAATTTATTATTCTACGCAACAATATACGATACACATATACACACATTGTTGGCTTCACCTATTTATTTTTTTTTTATTTTTGTATTATAAAGAAAATTACAGCATAATTACGCTCTATTTTTCAAAACCTGTATTTTCTACAATTGCGCGCTCACGTATTAATGCCTTTAATTTATTAATTCCTGTCTACAATATATATATATATATTTAAATGTGCTTCTAGAATACCACGTCGACGCAATTATATATATTCAAGTGAGGCTAATAATTTTAGCAAAATAAATACACACATCGATGGAAGCGAAAAATAAGAGAAAACAATTTTTAGTTTACTCAATTGACATTGTAATATATTTTTATGTAATAATTAGCAGTTAAAAATAAGGATAATTAACCAAAAAAAGGTAATTTACTATATGGTAAATTAATTTACCATATAATAATTAAAATAATTTTTGTTAAAAAAAATTAATAATTAATTAAAAAATTTAGTAATTGAATTATTAAGACTTATTATTAATTTACATTTTTTTTTTTGAAATATTACATAATTTTTTTGCCTCACATCGCAAAAAGCGTTATTTTAAAATTAAATATCGTTAGATTTTTTTTTTTTTAAAAGAAAGTTTTCGTATTGCGTTTTTTGATGTGTTAATCGACAGGAGGTGTTAAAGTCACAGAGTCAAATAACGGTCATATACGCAGTATTGACACAAATAATTATTACAATTAAAGTTACCTTCTTTCGTAATCGAAAAAAGAAGAGAGACAAGAGAGAGAGAGAGAGAGAGAGAGAGAGAGAGAGAGAGAGAGAGAGAGAGAGAGAGAGAGAGAGAGAGAGAGAGAGAGAGAGAGAGAGAGAGAGAGAGAGAGAGAGAGAGAGAGAGAGAGAGAGAGAGAGAGAGAGAGAGAGAGAGAGAGAGAGAGAGAGAGAGAGAGAGAGAGAGAGAGAGAGAGAGAGAGAGAGAGAGAGAGAGAGAGAGAGAGAGAGAGAGAGAGAGAGAGAGAGAGAGAGAGAGAGAGAGAGAGAGAGAGAGAGAGAGAGAGAGAGAGAGAGAGAGAGAGAGAGAGAGAGAGAGAGAGAGAGAGAGAGAGAGAGAGAGAGAGAGAGAGAGAGAGAGAGAGAGAGAGAGAGAGAGAGAGAGAGAGAGAGAGAGAGTCTATTGAAAAATTATAATCAGTCTCTCCCTTTTCCTTGAATTTCTCCAGGATATAACGTGAGCCACTTTTTCCACATTACCCTAAGTAAATACTCATTCTTTTATGAAGCGAGATTCAAGCTAACCTCGTGATTTTACTACACTGTCAATATATATGTATAAATAATGAAATTATGTGCAAAAACTCTTTTTTTTCTACCACTTCGATTTTGAAAAAATTTGCAAAATTTGATATTAAAAAAGAAATATTTTTTGCAAAAAAAAAATCCTTGAAAAGAGGAATAAATTCAACGAATGTCAAAAGAGAAAAATTAACGATAGAGAAAAATTGTTATTCTGCTACTTCATTTTAAAATAGGAAAAGATTAATTAATATTACAAATGAAGACAAGAGATATAGTCGCAGAAATCTTTTCGCATCGAGACCACAACACCGCAAAAGGTTACTGACTCGGAGGCAAATATATATATATATATATATATATATATATATATATATATGTACGAAGAAGCTATGAATATATTATTTTTAAATTGTAAAAATTATTTTAAACATTCTTTTATAAATTATTTTTCTTCAATTATTTTCCTTCCAATTTTTTTTTTGTAACAAGTAAATATTTTTCTATAAGAAAATTCCTTTTTTTTTAAAAAAAAAAAAAAATTATTTCGTAATTTATATAAAGTATTAGGTTTAGTGTGACATATTTAGATAGTGACAATTAATGTAAGTAGTGCAAAAAACATACGTATATATGGGCGTAATTAGACGTGTATATACTTTTGAGCAAATTAGTCATCAAGATAGCGACTAATTTCTATAACGTACATGTTTGCCACAAGAAAAATAAAAAAAAAAAAAATTGTACATAAAAATTAAATCTGAAATAACGTAATTAAAAACAAGATTTTTTTTTTAATAAAATATTAATTGGAGTTTAAATAAAATATTGATAAAAGTTTTAAAAGTTCATTGATCAAATTGATATCTAATCTATTATTTTCTTTGAAAATATAATAAACAATAAACAGCAAGTTTGAAAATGAAAATTCGATTTCATAAAAAAAAAATAGTTTAAAATATATACAATTTTCGTAATTATAAAGTTATTTACTAATGACCTCTCTTCAAATATAACATGTATATCAAAAATCATTTTTCAAATTATAATATACAACGAATAAATGAGGATAAATTACTTTAAAATTAGTTTAAATACATTAACTCTCAAATTTCTTCCGATAACCTTGAATAATTTATGATATATATAATTCTTAATTAGCTAAAAATATCACATTTCTGAATAATAATAATAGAAACCTCTTCCAATATCGAAATTTTCAAAATGGAGTAATTATTATTAAAATAAGAAAATAGAAATCATTTTGAAAATATTTACCTCAAATGATAATGCAAATTATCAAATTGTAAACAAAACAAATTTTAAATTTAATTAAAAACTAACCTTACTAAATAATTTAAATATAACCATTTGTCAATGATAAAAATTTGATAATCTCTCAAGAGGGAGAAAAAAAAAATTGTCAACAATGCGGAAATAAAAACACAACACTCACCATGGGACTTTCAGATGTATGTCCATGATGTGGAATCGGCATATTGGAAATAGCAACACCTCCGCCGGTATTTCCAATGTCTTGATATTCATCCGATATCTCCATCGCGTACGATGGCAACGGTTCTCTGTTCTTCACCCGAATTTTGGCTGCTTTGATCCGCTATTCGCGGTCTCAATAAAAAATAAGGCCTTAATGGCCAAAGTCCGACAGAAAAAAGAGAGAGAGGTTAGGTTGTCACAAAGGACGACCGATGAAGAAAACACTTGCAGTTCACGTAAAATCAACGAGAAGAATAATTCGAAATAACCCACGAAATTTCTTTTTCCTTTTTTTTCACAAACACCCTAATTTTTGATTATTCAAAACTGTGTTCATGTTTTCACCAAATCGCCTACTATTTCCTACACATCAAACACTCACAAACTTTTTTTTGCACACAAAAAAAAAAAACACCTACTAAATCAATTTTTCTTTTTCGATATTTTTGCGTAATATTCGGAAATAGTCATCAATATACCGATATCACACAAATTTACAAAACACAGTTTTGTTCAAATGTTCGGAAGCACTGTAAACACAACAAAAAAAAAAAAAAGTTGTTTTTATTGGACGGAGAAAAAAAAATGATAATAACAAAAAGCCGGCAAAAATACGTAAAAAGAGTTTATTATATTATATATATATATATTTATTTTTTTTCGAGGGGGGACACGCGCACGTTCGCGTCCTGTTGCGATCTGAAGCTGGGCAACACTAATACCGGGACGAATCCCCCACTCTAATGATCTTTTTACCCCCCCTACTAAATCCTCAACGCTACTTCAATGTAACCAATTGGTGGGCGGGGGTTTTCCACACTAACCCTGTAGTTGAACACGAGAGGCGGGTCACAATGATAACGCCCCAATGCCGGTCGGTCTCTATGGGATGTGTGTTACCCTATCGGATAACGACCCCGCGACTAACTTTTTACCCCGCGATAAAGAACAATTAATTCAATTAACTTAATTTATAATTAATTTCCTAAAAGTTGGTAACATGTAGGAAAATAGAAACAATGCGCATGCATATTGGAAAAATTATTTTTGGCGGGAATTTTTGAATTTTTTAAAAATTTACCCTAATCTCTAAATATAAATTAGTTTAAAAATAAATTGATAGAAAAAAATTTATTTGGTTCAATTATTTGATTATTATCGCAGAGAAAATTTTTTTTTTATTTAGAATGTTTCTCTAGAATAGCGAAAACTTTCGCTACTTTAGTGAAATATATCGCTGTTTCAGGTGAAGATTTTTTTTTTCCGTGGCAAATATTTACTTGAACTAAATATATTTTTAAACCAATTGAAGTAAATAAACTGTATTTGAAACAAATACAATTCAATTGATTCAAATAAAAAATAAATAAAAATTGGCGTGAATTAACTACGTAAATTTTGAAAGATTAAAATTTTACTGGTCCCTTTACTTAATTAATAATTAATTATTTTTGACATATTTAGTATTTAATAATTGACCCTTATTATAAGTAATTAGTTATTTTTATTTATTTATTTAGTAGTACTAATTTTTTATCAAATAATGAGTAGAAATATTATTATTTAAATAAATGACTTATTTTTTTCTACAAATTTAGTTATTTTTAACTAATTCAAATTTAGAGAGTTATTAATATTAGCCTAATTTCGATTTTAGATAAATTTAAGAAGAAATTCAAGAAATTTTTCCAGATTTACAAAAAAAAATCGAAGCTCAATTGTTTAGTCAAATATTTGAAAGAATTTTTTAAAAATAATTCCCAAGATTTGAACTCCAAAAAATTATGTAAAAAGTTTAAAAATAATAAAGAAATAAAAATAAAAGTTTAATAAAAATAAATAAAATAAAAATATAAATCTCAAATATTAAATATTCAATTATTAAAAAATATTAAATTATTTAAATGATTAAAATGATTATTTAATTGATTCAATAATTGTAAGTATATAATGATATTAAAAAAATTAATAAAAAATTGAAACAATACCTTGAAATACTAAATTAAAATTAAAAAATGTATCTTAAAATAATACGGCAAATAGAACTGAACAATTAAAATTGTTTTGAAAAATCAAATAAAATAATTGAAATTATCTTCAATTAGTCAACAAAAAAATTAAAAATGTCTTCAATTACAAATCAGTCAAATAATTGAAGTTATTTTTAATGAATAAAATAATTTAAATTATCTTTAATTAGTTAATAAAATAATTAGAAAATAATTATTAATAAATTAATTAATCAATTAAATATTTTCGAATATTGAATAAAATAATATAAATAAATAAATTTTAAATGCCTGGTGAAGTTCTGAACGTTCAAAAATGAACGAAATAAATTTTTTTTGGTCTATACATTTTTTTTAAATTACTACAGAACTGAAAAATAAAAAAAAAATACATTAAACATTCAACAAAATAATTTATTTTCAGATATACAGAAAACAATATTTTATAATAAAAATTTAAAGTTAAAATATTAGCCGCAGTAAATTTTTTGTTCATTTGAACGTTCAGAACTTGATAAATAAAAATTTTTAAACAAATTTGCAAAATGTCTTTTTATAGAGCTCAATTCATGGAATATTAATATTTAAAAGAATTTTTCTATTCAATTGATTGATTAAAAAATCTTTTTTAAAATCTAGTTCTTTTTAAAAAAAAGTTCCACAATTCAAATTTGTATAAATAATTCAATTCAATAATTGGCCTGATTTTAACGAAGCGACAAAAAAGAAATTGAAATAATTTATAAATAAGAGATTTTGAATTAATTTTTCTCTAATTTAAGATTAATAATAGAAAAAATATTTTCTCTAGCAAATTTGCAAGCTTTTCAGCGACTGTAGAATACTATACGCACCCCTAAGTGAAACTATACATTTGAAAATGATTCTTAAACAATAGAGCAACATTTTGAATACTATTTTCTTCTTCCTTGTACATAACACATCACTTTGTCGGGACGAATTTGTTCTTTTTTTTCAAAATTTGTTCAAGCGTGAAACATTCCTGAATTGCGTTAATTTTCCCCGCAAGTGCAAAACGGCGCGCATACTTTTGATATAATTTTTCTTTTCCCTTATTACACTAAATGGTATGTACTTCGCACCCAAGTTTTCGCTTCCCGTGTAAAAAGCTCGTTTAGTGCTAAGAGCGAAAACGATATTGGCACTCGTCGTCGTAGTTCAAAACTGAAAAGAGAGGGAAAATATAGCGCATACATATATATATATATATTTAGAGGAAAGGAGAATCGATATATAGATACTCGCGGTCGATTATCCAAGAAAATTGTTCCCACGAATAACGAGAAGATACTTATGTTACAAGGCGTTTGCGTCATAAACAAGTAAAGGCTTATAAGTATCCAAGTATCGCAAAAGTAGATATATAGAAGAGATACAAAGCAGTTGTTAAGAAATCCAAAGAAGGCAATAGGAGACGATTTTTTTTTTTTTCATCCACAGGAGATCATAAGATTAATAACAGAAGAAACAATTTTATTAAATATCGAAAAATTTGAAATAAAAAGGATTTTCAATTTTATTCTTTCATTTGATTTTTTTTACAATTTTTATAAAAAGCTAATTAGATTACTAAATTAAAAATTGTTTAAATCGAAAAGAAAGAAAAATTACTGAAAACTTCAAGGCGAGAAAATATCGATATATATAGGATAACACCTCTAACATTAAATTTTATCACTCTACACGTATATATTCCTTCCTCTTATATTCTCAAAGAGAGCAGTTAACACCCCAACGGCTGTTTGATCCCGTGGTAAATAAGGACTATCTCTAGTACGTTTGCAAGAAGATAGCACACAACCTCCCTCTTCATCATCATTTTCTTATTTTGCCGTCCGAAGCCTGTGTTTTCTTTTCAGAAATTTTATTGCACACTCTCCGCTACTACTCTAGATTCTAGAATATAATGCTTGGAACCTCCTTTGAAACCTCTTTACTTCGCTCTCGAAACCTTCGATATATTTTAACACTCAATATATATCCCATATTTACTCCACGAGTATATATATATATATATATATGAGATTGTTTATTTTTGAAAATTTTTATGAAACCCTCCTCAAGGTATGTGAGAAATAAAAACTCCAGAGAGTAATAATATATGTATATAGAAAAAATTATTCAAATGGGAAAATTTTGAAACATAACGAGACTCCTATCTATATTTAGAATTCGAAAAAAAAAAGAATTGAAATTTGAGATTTTTGGAAAATACCAGAATATGTCGTTAAGAAATATTTTACGATATATATATATAATTTAAAAATAGTTTAGATTTATTTATAAATGGAATTTTTTATTTAGCTGCATTTTTTTGCTGACGATTTATATAATAAATCAAATTTTTACTTTACCGAATTTTTATATGGGAATTAATTCAAATTTTCATTTAAGTAATTAATTTATTTTTTTTTTTATTATCTGAATTTTTACATTACGTTGGAATTTAATTTTCAAGATTCCCTGACTTTTAGGGAAAAAAAAACATTGATTCAAATAAAACTCAGTTATTTAACTATATTATTGTCAAATAATTATAATTAGATGGAAAATATTTTAACTTGAACAAAAAAATTGTATTCGAACCAAATTATTTCTGTATTTGAAACAAATAATTAATTGATTCTAATTAAAATTATTTGGTACAAATAATTAATGTGATTCAAATAATTTTTTTTTTTTTTGATAAAGTTACCGAATAAGTATAAGTTACTGAATATTAATTAAAGTAATTAATATTTTTTCAGTGTTTTTTATTTTTCCTTGTTATAGAAAATTTTAATTATTTAAATTCCCTTTAATAACTCTCTAAAAATTAGTAAAAATTAACTAATTTGAATCGCTAATCGCTAATTGAAATCAGTTAAAATTTTTCCTAATTCAAATTTAGAGAGAAAAATTTGTAGATTTTTTAAAATTCCAAAGATAAATAAAATTCATTGAATATTATAAATAAAAAATTTTTCCTTTTTAAAAATTTGATACTGAAAAGTTGGAAAATAAAAAATTTTTTTTTTTTTTTACATTGTTTAAAGGGGCGGAAAAGAGAAAAAGGACAAAAAAATAAGGATAGAAAATTAGAAAATACTTATTTTTTTCTTTCGATTATAAAAATTCGGTTAATTAAAAATTATAGTTTAAATAAAAATTCTGTTGAAATTAAATGAAAATCGAAACTGTATAATAGAACGAAAATATGTAATATCAAAATTATAAAAATTTGTACTATTTTATTCTATTTAAAAAAAAAAATCCTACAAATTTTGTTAAATAATTTGATTTCATGTAATTTAAATAGAAATTAAATAAATTCATCAATATGAAAAAATAAAAATAAAAAATAAAAAAATTATCTGAATAAAAATTCAATTCTTTTATCCAAAGATGTGAAATATTCATAAAGAATATAAAAACTAATAGCAGAATTTTTTTACTGGCAATTTTTAAAGAACATAATTTTCAACTAAAATGCAATATGCGAATAAGGGGAAGTTCGAGCAATAAAAACTATATACGATAACGAAAGAAGCAGAAACCTATATAGAAAAATAATCCAGATAAAATCTTCGCTTATCGCTTCTATATCTTTTTATATACGCATATATATAAATTATGCACTCCTTTTTCATTATCCTTTTTATTTTCCTTCTTTTTCCATTTCCTTTTTTGTATATATATGTATATATATA